TGACTGCTGCTGCACTGGGGGTGATGTTGGTGAGAGAAGCAAAGGAAGAACCCCATTCAGAGAGCAGAGTGGGGAACAGACACCAGAGCAGAATGTTTCTGCTTGGGAAGCTGAAGAGATGTCTCTTCTCACTCCTGAGAGCCCCACATTCCCCTCTCTCTTCCTTCAACTCTCCCCACCCTCCAACCCTCACCTCCAGCTTGGAAAGAGGAAAAGAGAGTAGAATAGAATAGAATAGAATAGAATAGAATAGAATAGAATAGAATAGAATAGAATAGAATAGAATAGAATAGAATTGAATAGAAAGGAAACCTGGATTTATGGCAGGAGAGAAAATACAGCTCCTCACTCCTGCATGGCAGGGTCATCCTTCTTGTATTTAGAATGTGGATTCTTCCAGAGAGCAGTTAGACGTGTCAGGAATGAGAGTGATCTGAGCTGGGCTCCAGGTTCACTGACCTGCTTCACCAGAGAGATGAAAGAATTTTCTCCTTCCTTTGCCTTTTAAATGTAATTCTGTATGCCCTCTCCACCATACCCTCTCAACTCTCTAGCTGGTAGCAGTGCAGACATTTAGCCATCCTGGGAAAAGACAGGATCCTTTTCATTAACTTCAGGCTGACTGAAGTCCCTAGAGCCATGGAGGATTTCATTTTCTTCTCTCTCTGCCTCCTGCCATGGGCAATGTGCTGCCTCCCAGTGGGATGGAACAGAGACAGGGTTCGAGGGGGAAGCAGCAGTGAGGGGTCTGGATCAGTGCTTTTCAAGGCAGTAGCTTTGGGAAGGAGCATGCTTACTCTTCTTGCCTATGCCTCAGTTTCCCCTGAATTTCTGAGCACGTTCATCCCAACTTCAGGGTGGAGATTACCCGCCAGTTATGCCTGGGTATTAGAGCTGGACTGGAAGGATGGGATCTCCAGCATAGGTTTGAGCAGAGGGCGAGGGATTAGTAGACCTGTCCAAGCCTGTTGTTAACTAGCAATGTGATCTTGAAAATGTCACTTATCAGATTTTCTACAAAATAAGGATGGCGTCTAGAGTTTTAAAATCTGTTACAGTGGCAAGACATTTGTTTTTGAATGAAATTACAAGAAATAGGGAAAAACAGAGACACTCTGGTTGACGGAGGGGGGAGCACAGTGGGGACCCTTTGTCTACACTGCATTCCCTCACCCTGGGTCCCCAGCAGAGGTGGCTCCTAAGTCCACTGGGGACATTGAGATTTTCTGATACTGTCCAGGAATCTTAACTACCCCCTCAATCCCTTGCACTGTAAGACTGGGACTCTACTCAGAGTCCAGGTTGAGGAGGTCTGTGATCTTGTCCTAAATTTTAAATCCACACGTGAGCACTGTATTTTACTATATTGCCTGAGGTCAGCTGTTTCTTCTTTCCTGGGTATAGGATGTATAGACTTCTAGGGATGTAATCTGCTTTGGAAAGGGGATTGTTCAAGGTGCAAGGTCTATGTGTGACTCAAAGAGCTCATGAGTTTGGGAACAGCATGGCAAAAATCCCAGAAGCTTGGAAGGCAAGGAGTCACAGCGTAATAGAGGAGAAAGACGGAGTTATGTGTCCTGCTCTTCTGGGACCCATTTAGAGAAGAGGTCACAAGGCTTGTCTTGGTTGTTTCCCAGGTCAGATGACACCTTCAAAACACACTAGATTATAAGTGAAATGTTCAGAATCTCCAGGGTAATGAAATTTAGAAGTTCTAGAAGTGACTTGGTCACCATCCCTGGCATGACCTCCCTGTATCTTCCCACTCACCATCTGATAAGTTGACATACCTGAACCAGTGTTCAATGGGTTGGACCTGTTTACCATTGTACTGTTTCATTTACAAGGAGGGGGAGCTCACTGTCTTTCTCTGGTGGTCAATTTATTCATTGTTCGGCATCTTTGACATTGATACTATGCTTCCTTAAATTTAACCTCCAAAGTCCACACTGAAGTATCAGCCAGTAATCTCTGTTAAATCTGTAGTGGATGGAGAAGAGCTTGTTCCCACCTTCTGAGTGGATTAATTCATTCAAATATTTAAGTGCCTCCTTCACACAGGAAGCGTGCTGGGTGCTGAGCGCAGTTTCCTTTTGTCAGTTTGAAGGATGTCTTGTGCCTGCCTCTCACACTTCTGTCATAATTCCCTCAGCCATTTAGGTCATTCTGATTCTCACCTCTGGGCTGAAACTGTTCTCTGCATTCCTTTTAAATCATTTGACCAACAGGCAATTCAGGGACTAATTGCGTGTCCAGACTCAGCACGTTGAGAAATGGCAAAATTTGCTTAAGATGTAAACCATAGTCTTGTTAATAGACATGGTCTTGTTGGGCATGCCCTTGTTAGATGAAAAAAAGAAGAGAAAAAATACAACAGCACAAAAGAGTATTTTTAAAAAATTAAGAGCTATACTGCATGCATCTGACTTTCTATTAAGAGAAAGAGACTCTAAGGAGGTAGAGAAATCCAGGGAGGTAGGAGAAATCCCAACTTTTTTGAGCTAGAGATGGAAGGAATAATAACCAAAGATGCCACATCTCTGTTTCCAATCAAACAAATGGATCTGGTTATTTCTCAATCCCCAAACCACTCGCATGAGGAAGTAGTGCATATTTGCAGATGCTTTGAACACACTTGTGGTTCATCTTCAGTTACGAGATCTCAGGACTAGGAGGAACTAGGCATTGTGGTTTCACGCCTCCTGCCTACCTGGTGAACCCTACAGAAGGCAGTAAGAGGACTTCTGCTCACGTACTCCCAGGGTTTGGAGGATTTGAGCTCAAGTTCCTACATGCTAACACATACTGGTAGGTGTGTCCTTGCAAAGGTCACTCTCATGCTTATCCCTCACCCCAGCCTTTCTGTCCCTCCTCCCCAGCTCCATCCCAGCCTTGTGATCAGATCAAGTTAGAGGCCAAGGTTGTACTGATAAATTTGCAAGAGTGGATGGTCATGATCAATTAAATAAGAGATTTTCTGAGAGGAAGAGCTACTTATGGGTTTTTCACAGAAACAAATGCTTTATGTACATCTGTGATTCGTTTGACGAATATTTTGGTTCTACACTTTTTTCTATGCCACTTCTCCTCAACAAATGGTCTTCAATGTTCTATGACTCAGAGGCATCTTATTATAGAAGGAAAGCCATGAGCTTTGGAAAATATTGTTTAGTTTTCAATTCTAAATACCTGTTTTGCCCATGAAACTTAGAAAATGTTATACAACATCTGTAAGTCTCAATTTTCCCATCTGTGAAGTGGAGACCCTTTCTATCTCATGAAGGAGCTGTGAACATTAGAGACGAGAAATAATGTAAAGCAGCAACCAGTGACTCTCCATGTGTCATAATTCCACTCCTTAAGTTGGGTTGTGGCTGGCATTGATAGATGCAAAGAAAGCTGTGTTGAGATTTGCCACCCCCTTCCCTGTCTTTGTCCTTCCAGCTGCTCTCACTGAGAGGGCTCACCCCACTGCCTTTCCATTTTTCAAGGTTAAACTCAACTCCATCGTACTTCAACAGCCCACCCTGGCCTCTCCTGCCTCATCTTCCCAGTTTAACCCTTAAAAATTCCAATATACACATGATCCTTCCACCAAACTCTAGGTTCCTTGAAGACAGGGATGAAGTCTGTCACTATGTTTGACCCTCCATGCCCTCAGTGACCTACTGGACTCTTGCTTGGCTATTTCCAAGGGTCTGAACCAGCTCTCCACCAGGAGGGACATGCTTGCCCAGATACGTTCCACATGGGAATCTCCATCCTGCCTGAACCCAGCTTCCACATCACTTAAGCACCATTATTGGCAGAGTGATTTATGGAAGTTGCAAAGTCCAGCGGAGCTTTTCTGAAGGATAGAAGCCTGGAGCTCAGCACCACTCCTTGTTTCTTGACCCAAACAGAATATTGCCACAGCAAACATGAAGCGTTTCCTATTTTCATTAGTGCTCTCCAGGCTTAGAAAACCAGTCACCCTCCTTGGATCAAAATAAGCATCCACCCTTTTTCTCTTTATTTCCCACTTTCTCAGCACTTGCAAACAACAATGAAGTATGTGATATTTAATTCATTCATCTTATGGTTTTATTGAATGTCTTCTGGTGCAAAAGCCTCAAAAGGATGCAAAGATATTTAAAACCTGAACCTTACCCTTTAATAATGATTAAACACAGAGGGGAAGAAAATGAATGTAACTCACTCTTGTCCTGTAATATTGTGTGATTGTTTGAAACATAAACTATAGTTAGCATGTATAAAATCACAGGCAACCATATGATAAAGGGAAACTGAGTCACGTGTAGGTGAGAAGAAGAGAAGATCATTTTTACTGGACTGGTTTAGAGAAAGAGAAAGAAAAGAAGGTAGAAAGGAAGGAAGGGAAGAAAGAGGGAGGGAGGGAAAAGGGTCAGGAGGAAGAAGGGAGGAAGGTGAGAGGGAGGGAGGGAAGAAGAAACAGGGAGGGAAGGAAAGAAGAAGGACAGAGAAAGGAAGGCAGGAATGAAGGAAAGGAGGAAGGAAGAAGGAAAGAAAGAGTGTGAGTCTTCTTAGATGACTCTTTAACTTTGTCTGAAGCAGTAGTTCTCAACCCGTATCACAGACTGCTTTGATAGTAGGAAGAAAGCCAGGTCCCAACCCCTAAGGAAATGTAGACTTCGATAGAGCCACACAATTATACTTACAATTCCAGGGAATCTGAGGACCTGCTGAAGGCCACCCATACCCCATGATCCCTAGTTTAAGAACCTTTGAAGAGCTGGTAGCACTTAGAAAGAAGGTAGGAGAGGGCAGGAGGAGGGAGGTGGTGATGTCGGAGATGTGCACACCGAGTTGGAAGTCTATTGAGCCGGTAATCCCAGCCCAGGAATCTCCCATTTGCCTCTGGCAATCCTGCTGTTTCAGCAGCCATCCAGGTTGTGGTCAGTCCATTGCTGATCTGTAGTGGGGATACTGTGCACAGATGTTGAGAAGTATCACTAAGGAAATCTTCTTTGTTCTTCCAGATCCTCACAGCCAGTGACCTTGCAGCCAGCGACCTCAAAGGATTTCAGCCACAGGTAGGTTCCTCTGATGCTTTTATTAAGCTTGGGAGAGCATGATGCTGTGGAGGTTGGTTGTCAACAAGCACTTGGCACCAGGACAGGACCCCTTATCTTGGAGTTCCAGTTTCTTTGACTCAAACCACCAATTATGAGAATGACCTGGTGGCTTGTTCTCTCCCTTCAAGTTCTTTCTCATTCCATTACCGACAAAATCACCTCTTTCTGCTCTCTCTCTCTCTTCCAATCTCTCCTAACACTTCATAGTAAAAAAAAAATCTAAATCAAGAGGCTAGGAATGTTGAATGCATCTGCTTAGGAAAGTGTTAAATCAAAGGTGGTGGAGGGTGTCATGGGCTGTATTGCTCTCTTTTGGACAGGATGCTCACATTTCTACCATCTGCATGTACAGATTCCCTGCAGTCATGGTGTGGTGGCCAGGCTAATCTTATATTCCTGCAGAGTTGGACAGTTGAGTTTTGCTGATTGTGGTTATGAAACAGGCCACTTTACCAATGACCAGAGAGTGGTGTTTGGATGTTGCCATGGGAAGACTGGAGGGTGTAGAAAGGTTTTCTGGGACCTCCTTGGCTGGGGCAAAGATGGAAACCATCCTTTCCTTTGGAAGAGGAGTCTACACACACACACACACACACACACACACACACACACACACACACACACACACACACAAATACACCCAGACACAGATACATTTGCTTTCTCCTCTAGATGCCAGTGTAGGTTGAACATGTAGCAAAGAGAGGCAAACTCAAGGTGGACAGCTGTGGGACTCAGTCCCTGCCCCTGCCTCCTTTTCAAGATGAGACTTTCTGTCACCCTCCAAATCAGTGCCTGCCTCAAGATCCCACCGTGCTATACCATTGTGGGAAAATGCATCACAGCTTATGGCAGTGAACTTCTGGGGCAGAGCAAGTGATTTTTCTAATGCCAAGAATTCCATATTTGGGAAGCTTTCTCTTTAAATGTGTTTCATATTCAGGGGTGCCCTGTGCCTTTTCTACCTTTCTCCCTTGTGGGTGACATCCTCTGAGCACCATCTCACTGGGGAAGGCAAGGATGTGAAACGACCACAGATCACACCAACAGCCAGGAACAAGGATAGAGAGGGGACCAGAAGAGAATTAACCAAATCAAGGGACCCACTGTTAAGAATTAAAGATAGCCGGGCTCGGTGGCTCAGCCTGTAATCCCGTGTCTTTGGGAGGCTGAGGTGAATGGATTGCCTGAGCCCATGGGATGGAGACCCGCCTGGGCAGTGAGACCTCATCTCTACAACAAATCAAAAAATCAGCCGGGCGTGGTAGCGCATGCCTGTAATTCCGGCTACTTGGGAAGCTGAGGCGGAAGGATCGCCGGAGCCCAGCAGGTCGAGGCTGCAGTGGCCGGGAGCGGCCACTGCACTCCAGTCTGGGTGACAGAGTGAGACTCCAACTCAAAAAAAAAAAGAATCAAAGATAATTCCCTGTGTCCGTTTGGAGTGTTTTCATCACAGCTTGTTGATGCTCCTGTCTGGGATTCAATGAGGTTTTAAACATAGATATCAGTAAGCCTCTTTGTCAACCATTGAAAACACGAATGGCCGGGCTCAGTGGCTCAGCCTATAATCCCGTGCCTTTGGGAGGCTGAGGTGAGTGGATTGCCTGAGCCCGCAGACTTGAGACCCGCCTGGGCAGCAAGACCTCATCTCTACAATAAATCAAAAAATCAGCTGGGCATGGTAGCGCATGCCTGTAATTCCGGCTACTCGGAAGGCTGAGGCGGAAGGATCGCCGGAGCCCAGCAGGTCGAGGCTGCGGTGGCCGGGAGCGGCCACTGCACTCCAGTCTGGGCGACAGAGTGAGACTCCAACTCAAAAAAAAAAAAAAAGAAAACACGAATGAATTAAATGCTTAGTCACCTATTCACACAAACTTCCAGACAGGCAAAGGGAATATAAAAGAAAATCAGCATTTACCCAAGCCTACTCACCTCCACACCCACACTCACACTTGGTAGCATCCTAACTAAAGATTTCTTTTTATCTGAAAGTGTATAAAAATAAAGGGAAAGAGGACTTTGCATGGTGCTGGTTTTCCACATGAAAAGGACACATAGAGGAGACCAGAAGGTATGTGTATGTGGCTTTAGAAGGGTTTCTCTCTGAGGTGATCATATTCTCTTCATGTTTGGTGACATATATGTTTCAGTACTAGATTTTAAATAAACTGCTAAGTGAAGGAAAATTTAAATATGTTTGAGCTGTGTCTGTAATATTTAAGAGTGTGAGTACGGAAAGACAGTTTCCAGGCTCCCCACAACGGCTCCGCAGGTTCCAGGGCAGATGGCTCGCTCTCAGCCTTGCCCTACCTTTCCACATTATCCCATTTGTGTGTCATCCCCCACCTCAGAGGGTGGAAGAAGCATCAGTGTCTGTTTCTCACTCCTCAGGATGCCTGTTCCTGAGGCCAGGAAGTCCCAGAAAATGTATGATCAGGAAGTCATTCCCAGATCAAAGTCATTTTCCAGTGTCTTTCCTAAATTCAAAGGCCCAGATGTGTCTCAAGTCAACACCTCCCTTTTCGGTGCTTTTTCAAACTGAAACACAAAGCTGCCCACAGGCTTGTGCTGCCCCCACGAGCTCCAGTGCACCAGATTGTGGGGTTCTGTTGTTAAGTGTCCCCTTCTCTCTTTGGGTTTTGGGCAAAACTGACTCCATGCGATAATTCACAGGTGCTTTCCCATTTAGGACCCATGACTGGCTGTCAGGGGAGGGTGCACTGAAGAACCCTCCCTGAGATAACTGCATTTAGCCTCGTGGCTTCATACAGTCCACACTTGACTGTAAAGAGTTGTTGTTGCTTATTTCCTTGATGTCTGTTTGTGCTACAGCCTGTTGGGGAATATACGAAGGAGGGCCTTAAGAGACTGGAATTTATTTATTAAAAATTGTGTATTTATTCTTTCATATTTAAACTTCAATCATCTTCAAAGTATTCTCCACTGGATACAACACACCTATTGAGATGCTTTTTCCCTGTTCAAAACAGCTTTTGAACTCGTCGATTTGGATAACTTTTAGTGCTTCTGCTATTTTTTGTTTCACCTCTTCCATATCAGCAAAACTTTTCACTTTAAGGATTTTATTCATCCAGGGAAACAAAAAAAAAACAAAACGTCTCTTAGGGCGAGATCAGGTAAACAAGTATGGTGGGGCATGGAGATCCTGCCGGTTTTGGTCAAAAACTGCTGAACACTCAGCACAGTGTGAGCAGGTACTCGTAAATCACCCATCATGACATGGGCACATTCATTGAAGGAATCTCCAAAAATAATTTACTGAGGCTAATTGCATCTTCTCACAACACCAGCTGGTACACTGATGCTGGGGGGCTCCTAGCACACTGACCTACCAGTGGAAGCCTATCCTACAAGGGTCCCACCCTCCAATAATTAATTCTGGAGTTTTGTTGTTGTTGTTTTATCCTGCCTTGTAGTTGCAATTTCTCATATTTGATGATTTTGAAAGTGTGCAGAGCAGTGTACGTTATTGGGCTGGGCTGTTCTGTCTGTCTGTCTCTGTCTGTCTCTGTCCTTCTCTCTGCATCCAAACAGAGAAGAGAAAGGTAAGCAAGTGAATATCTGCCTTTCTCCCCATGGTATAGACGCCCTGCCCACTCCTGGAAATTACACATGACTGCAGGTAGATCGAGAGCCTGTGCTATCTAAGGCATCCTGCTTTAGCAGTGGGTGGTCTTTTTAGGACTGGTGAACCTGGTCTTGGGGCCACAGCCTACAGCTGTCTTTTGGAGTCAGGCATGGTGCTGGTAGGCGGGTATATTCTCAGCAATGTTTAAAGGCACAGATGGAAAAGCTTCTGAAATTCACACCTAAACCGCCCTTATTCTTCACCCCACGAACATATCTCCTTTTATTTCCCAACATCCTCTTCTTTTGAAGCAAAGGACACACTTGAGTCCCCTCCTACCTAGTCTGTGGCCAACTGGACAAAGTCTTCTTTTGTGGGACCAGTCCTCTCCACCCTTAAGAGGAATAACAGCTGGCATCCAATTATCTTTAGTCAAAGCTCAATGACTGTATACTTCCTTCTCCATTTTTTAAAAATTATTTTTTCCTTTCTAATATAAACATTTTAGGCATTGTAGAAATTCAGAATACACAAAACATCATAAGAAGAGAAATTTCCTGTTATTACTCCTCAGAAATATAGGTAATGACCTTCTGGAGTATAGCCATCCAATCTTTGTTCTACATTGCCATGCACATCTATTGAAGTTTTTTAAAAAAAATTTGTTTTACTTTACGTGCTTTTTTGTTGCCTTATTTGTTGTTTGTTTACATGCTTTTCAAGTCACTGGGAAATTTAGCGGCTGGCCACTCTCGTGTTTGGTGGCTTGTGCCCTTCCTCATTGACCACTCTCCTCTGGCTGGACATCCCATTCCTTCTGCAGGCAGAGATGGCCAGGAGCCATCCAAGGTGAATGCTAGGATCCAGCACTTTCATCTAGGATACAGATCATGTCCACAGCATCCAAGCATTTATTTATTTGTTTTTATTTATTAGCTCTTACAGGGATATGAAATTTGCTTAAATATCTCCCTCAAATACCCATGTGGGATGCCCACAAGCCTGTGCACATGCCTAGGTAAGGGATGCTGTAAAGAGATAACCACATCATAAGGACCAAATTCTGATACAGGTTCTCCATTCCCAGCCACAGCATTGGAACAGTCACCTTACAGAGAGCCGTCCCCCACAGAGGACAACCCAGACTAAAGGACTTAGTTCTTGCCTGCTATAAACTCTCCATTGTCTCAGAGAAGAGGATACTTCCTACATAAAAAAAGAGTATTATTTCAAGTATGGGACAAGTATAATAGCAGCCTTTGAAGGGAGCTATTTTTAATGAGTTCCTCTAATGTTAATTGCTGTCATGGTCAAGGACACATTACAGTGAATGGTGAGGAGAGAGCAAACTAGGACACACAGAGAAATG